TTTACATATCAGCTTAATTAATTAAAACTGTTGATTTAACTTAAAACTGTTTAAAACTACCCATAGGTTGTCATAAATTCCGTAGACAAATGTGAACACTGGATTAATCAAATTGTTAAACATGAATATAACAATAATGTTCTATGTTTAATAAGTCTAGGGACCAGATTTGAATGCACAAAAAATCCTCAAAATATGTTTCTTAAAATGTTGTAATGTGCTACAAATTATGAATTTATAATTAAATATGCTCTAAAAATTAAATCGAAAATATTTTATTTAAAACTACGTAGAAAATAAAATAAGTATTAATTAATTAAGTATTAAAAAAGGTATAAAATTGTTTAAAAGTATAAAAAAGTATTTCGTCATTTAACATTCTTTATCTTTAAACTATAAAATATTAGTCCACATAAATAAAAAATTAAAACAAACAATTGATCTATATCAGTATATTATAATATATAAGTTACACACGAGTATGTCATTTCATCTTTGGTAATAACAACCATATTATGTGGCTGTAAACGTGAAAATACAACGAAAAACAAATACATATGTGCTATAAAACTATTAATATGCATATAATAAGTAAAACCGTTGAAATCTTTAAAATATGCAAAATATAATTAGTATTATTTTAATAAGAATTTTCTAAATCGGGGACAATAAATTCTAATCAGATTTCAAAAACCTTATTCCAATACAATACATTATAATAATATGTATTAGCACATAAATTCGGTCGGTCCCTAAAACAGTAACTCATATTATATGCGACATCTAGCGGTAAACTATCAACAGATTTATATTTTACGATTTTAGAACTAATCGACAGATTATATTTTAGATTATTTACAAAAACTGACATAAAATAAGAATCTTTATAAAAACAAAATAATAATAATAACGCCACTGTCAAGGCTAGGATTTATGAATGACCTACTGACATGTTATAATATTTAAATTCAATGATAAATCATTGTATACAAAAAATGATTTTGTGTGGAGACGGTCTGTCAGAGTGTCAGCCTACATCACCAAATATATTTCATATTATATTTTTTATATTGCCATTAAAGTAATTTATTTTACCATTATTATTTAAGTTGGTTTAATTTTTTCCGAAAACATTGTATTTATTATATTATGAGTATTTATCATTATAAAAATATGTATTTATGCTATATTTAATATTATACTATTTATACTTTGTTATTAATAGAACTAGGATTTTAATGACCTAATAAATACCAAAATGACCAAAAAATGTAATTGAATGAGTGAAAAAAATTTAATTTTAAAATTATTATCATTATTATTTATTAATTTTTATATTATACAAAATAGGTAAAAATTTGTTTTAAGAAATAAATTAAACAAATAAATTCAAATTCGAGTTGGCAATTAATTATTATATTATTTTTTTATAACAACGAACTGGAGATGGTAATTGAGATCACCTATAAGTACAACACATATTAAAAAAAGTTAAAATAAACAAAAATGAGTTTAAATACACAACATTTACGTAACATTTGTAAAAATGATCTTAAAAAAAAAACAATAAAATACATTTAACACAAAAAGGGCAAAATAAAATTTATATATTCTAAATTATTATACAACGAAACAGATTTAGTTTTTGGTTAGAACAGTATAACACTTAAAGAAAAAAAATGCAAAAGTTATCACAATCCTAACTCGAGTTATTAACTTTTGTGTTAATAATACTGTGAAATGTGAATACTGTGCTATAAATACCGTAAAAAAAAAAAATCGTGAACAGAGTCAATAAATAAATAGATATTATATTTAAATTAAATAAGACAGCAGGTCCCTTATATCGATATAAAATTTAGTTAAAAGTATTTTGAATGTTGAAACGCTCGATGATATCGAGCACCTAACTTCCTCACGTTCAATTTAAAATAAGGATCATCCTTGTCCTCATAGTTGAATCTAATGTCAAGATTTGTTTGAATTTTTTTTCAGATGCATTCACTGAAATGGAAAAAACAATCTCTGTTTTTGATGTTTGGTAAATGATTAACAAACGCGTTTATTTGGGAATATTTTTTGATATCTGTCATTACACCTGTTTTGAACAATTTTATTGAATTTGCGGCAATATTTACTTAAAATAATAGTAGTAACAGTACACCCATAATTAATTAATATTTATTACTTTAGTGTTATATTTATTACCTTATATTTCGTATTAACTGACGGCATTGATACCGTCGGCATAAAATCACGTAAGTATAAAATATAAACACTTGTCGGCGTATTTGTTATCGGCGTAAAGACATATTGTAGAACCTTTGGGTTTATAGGTACTTACTGCTTAATAATTTAATTGATAATAAGGTGAATCTCTGTAAATTGTTTGTATACAAACAATGGCTGATTATAAATTTTCAAACATAATTTACAAATTTGTGTGTACTGAGCTTATCCAAAATTCGAATATCATCCACGGTAAACATTTACCTTCTAATCGAACAAAATGTGTACATCAGAATAATTAATTTTACACGTAATCATTTTATGTAAATTTGAACTGTTACAACCTTACAAGAAACTAAAATGTATTTTGTACAAATTATTTATCAATAAGACAATATATAACATACGAATTATAATTATGTATTTATTTCACATTGAATATGTGATCTAAACAAAATTATACCTAAATTACCAAAAATACAATAAAACATTATCTTATATTGGTTAATATTTTCAATAGAAGTATTGGTATTGTTTACAAAAAATAACTTAATTTATTTTAGTTATTTTCTTACTCTGTCGAATCGGTTTGTTTGATGCAAACAGTTAAACATATAATGTTTTGGTAACTTAGAAAACATTAGATACGATAATAAATTAAACTAAATGAATATAAGAAATCAATATAATAAACCAAACATGATACTTTATTTAAAAATGAATAAGGCGTGAATTAAGCAATTAATAATTAAAGTTTTCGATTAAAACGCTTTTTAAATTAAAAAAAAAAATATATATGTTTACTAGGAAAACAAAGCATAATAAATATACGATTTTTTTGATAACTTTAATATACATATGTAATATGTACCTATATTGTTAAAAATACACCAAAAAATGATTCTAACAGAAACGGTCTTAAGCTTATAAAGTTTTTTTTTTTATTTATCGCAATTACGTAATAAATGTAACACTAACTACTGACAAAAATGAATACCTACCTAATATATCTTATAATAATAATACCGATGTTGAGTTAGTATAGATTAAAAATAGTATAAAGCCTAATACCAAAGATGTACTTCGGATGATTTCATAATCTTTAACGTAACGATAATAACTATAATAAGAACCAAAATATTGGATAGCGGTTAATCTGGTTATTTATTACTTCATCAATTGGTATACCAGTTAATGCAGTAATATCAAATTCTAATTATTTTAAAGTTCTTAATAATATTCGTCTACTCAAATGTTTTTACAAAGTCTAAATAATAATTACGGATTTACTTTATTTTAATCTCTTTTGAAATTGAAATGCCAACAATTTATTATATCAATAAAAGCATCCTCTATTTCCAAGTCCCTCGTTAACTCATATTGTCCATTATATATAATTTTATGTAATATTATTATTTAAATTTATTTTTAAGCAACTGCGCAATTTTTCGGCATGTATATAGTACATATTATGTTTATTGTTTAAAATATTTACAAACATTAAAATTCAATCTCATAAAGTTAACAGTACAACCATAATAGACACATACATTTAACAAATATTTTGGTTACTTCTTAAACATTTAAAATATTCTCAGAATTTGTTAGTCTTCGCCGGTAGAGTTTTTGTAACTTGTAACACTCCGATTAAACAAACTTATATAAAAATCTGTCGGCGAAAATAAAGCCCAATAAATTGTAAGAGTAATCCAACAATTTTTCAACAAGTTATCAACATTAGCTATTATTTGCAATTTCCTAATTATTTAAAACTTCGTTTACCATACGTTTCAGAATAGTTTTGATATCTACTCCCACTTATGCAATATGCATAGGTTGTTTATTTCGTGATTTCTTTAATCAAAGTGTTAAAGAAAAGTAAAAAAACTGTGTATATTTTTTTTATCATAATGAATAAGAGGGAAAAAATAATTTACAACAACATACACACACACGCGCAAGCGTTCATAACTCAGCATTTAGGGCGGTAAGAACATCATGACTTAAAAAAAATAGCACTTCTATCAAACTTTTTGGTAAACTTGATAAAATTGTTTAACGTTTATAATTCATTATGAAATAGCGTACGGTTTTTTCCTATACCAATCAACCGATAAAGCGTGCGGTTTTTGTATTACATCGACTTTTTTGCAGTCCAAATTGTAAGTGTGTGGTTTTTGATCCACAGAAAGCCGGTCGTATGATTGTAGATGCTCGCACGGGTGTGAAGCCACATATACAGGTTGGTTGAACGGATATGGCGACTGGCAAAGCAGTGCCTCCTTCGAAAATTGAGGAAAGAAAATGTACTTTTTGTTCCTGATAATTTATTAGGCTCAATCTAAATTCAGATTAATTTAAAAAATATTGGATTCCGAAAATGTTGTTAGAAAAAAATATTGATTAATTAAATTAAAAACAACGCTGTATAATGCAACGGCAAAATAGTAGTTGTCTTCGCCCGCCGTCCACCTGACGGGCAACTGCACAGCAATCCGATTACGCGTACATTACAACAAGATTCATAATGATTATTAATAAGTAATAAGTAAAAGTAACTATAAGTGCCGTAGCAGAGACAACTGAATATCGCTACCTCCTGGGATGACAAGTGTGAAACGGTGATACGGTGTGTGTTCGGTACCGAATAGACAACTGTTAGAACCGAAAGCTCCCTCGACACGAATCGGTTTCGTTCGGTTTCGATTCGGGTCCAAGGTACACAAAAGCAATTGGTCGTATACGGTTATTACGGTTTAGTCTCGGTCCGGTCACGTTTGCGGCAAGCGAAAGTATTATTTCATTTTTATTTTTTCATTTAAAATTTTGTTATTTACATTTAACATTGTGTGATTCACTTGACATTGATATTGGTCGACCGATTTCATAAGTCCAATCACGTGTAGTGCTGTGGGACAAAACAAGTGAAAAGTACAAAAATAAATTTAAAACACTGGAAGCGTGGAAAGCTGTTTGTACGGAAACCATGGACGGCTATGAAGATTTTAACGACTCTAAAAAAAAAAATGATATCGGTACGTAGATATTGAATATTTTATTTCCGTCGAGGGTATTAAGATTAGGTATTTAAAATACTCGTATTTTATGAGTAATTTCCAAATTTATAATTATAATTGGATTTTAGTTTAAGCTCTTTTTAGCTAACATTATATCGGTACGTTATAAATAATTGTTTTATATTTTTAACTGATTTTCCGAAGAATATAAACATTATATTATGGATAATCCTTAAAACTAAAATTTTAATAATATTTGATAGGTTGTTTAAAACCTATTAATACGGATTAATTCATCCTATTTACACAAAAAATAATGGTATTAATAGTGAAATTAATAAATACAATATTATATTTTGATTAAAACATAATATTAAACATATCAATACACATAAATACACATAACATAATTGAAACTGCTCATGGCGCTCATGCGCACCACTCAAACGGTGGCAATCATTTTACTAATATCTGATGTACTCTGCAGTACTCGCCATCCGACATCCATCGGCGTTGAAGTTAATATTAGAAAAAATTATATTTTAATTCCTGGTGAATATAGTCATTCCTAATTGCTATTATCAGTTTATAATTATTAATATTTATCAAAAGATAATATGCTACTTATCACTAAATATTTTGAATCTATTATCTATATTAGACTATATGTTATACTCTATAGCCGTATACCGTTGTTATATTGTAGTTATATCTTATATGTGAAAATATTTTATATTTTCAATAAAAGCATTTTTATTTTTGGTAAAATGAAACTTTTGTACGATCCGGTTGTCTTGTTACATGGAACTACGGGCGAGACACTTTTCGACCAAAAAACTATTATTAAATAATAATTATAAGTCTTTATGTAGAAAAAATAATTTTTGTTAGTTATTTTTAAATATAGTACCTAGTAGGTCACAAATAAATAATGATAATAATTACATAATATAAGTCTTTATGTTATACATATCATGAAAAAATATTAAAAAATGTATAAGTTTGCTGGTTCACTACTTTTTAAAGTAATTATTTGAAACCAACTTAACAAAATCATACCAACCAATATAAAAGTATACAAATATTTACTTTTTGGTAATTATAAAGCATAGCTATATACTGTATCTGTCGATTTGTCCGTTTTGATAATCCATGATGTATTTTCAATTTTCAATAACATTAATATTGTATATTATATTAAACTTTTTTTTTTGGTCGAAATGTGAATCGGCCGAAAAGGGAAGGGTACGTTTTTAGTCGAAAACGGTCATGCCCGGAACTACATATAGGCATTGGAATACTGTTGATAAAAATGATTTACTTGGGCAAGGTAAAATAACTCCTCATCTTATATGTTTGTCCACTAACAAAATAAGTTTTAAGGTATTTAGTAGATCATTTAATTCTAATGAATGTAATAAATATTCATGTTTGTGTGGTAGTTATTATCTACAAAAGTTATTTTGTTGGCCATGTTTGTTGTTGGATCAAACGAAATCTGTTTGGGTTACAGAAGGCTAATAATGTTGCATATATTAATGTAGGTATATATTTCAAAATATAATGCATTATAATATCATAATATTAGAGAAAATGAATTATCGACTGTGTTTTATGGATAGGTATATTTAATAATATAACATATACAATAATGCTATAGTATCTTTATAATGTAGTGGAAGTAGTGTAGTACCTACTTTATCGTTTATCTTTATTTCAGTTATTTATTATTTGGTTTTTACTTAAGTTTTTATCGAATATTCGAATTATTACAGTGTTAGGATATGGTTATTATAATATGTATAATATTGTATATCTAACTATCTTGGAGTGCATTTACTACGGTAAGTGCTAACGACATTAAAAGTGGTCTCGCTGTTGGGAGGCAATTTGTGCTTCCGCCAGAATATTCAAATATACAATGCCGTCTTAATATTACTCCTTTGTCCTATACTTCCTGTGTAAAATGTTATTGGAGTCCGTTCTAATTGTTATGTTCTGTGATAATATGTTTATCTGTAATATGATTAGTGCTGTAGTGAAGTGTATACATCGTATACCTACTTCTCTGTTTTTCTGTAAGTGCGTATACTTATAGAATAACACATGAAACGCCGCGGGTATTCGCGTATGGGAATGTATTTATTTTATAAACCAATTTGATAAGTAATTTTTAATTAATAAATAAAATATCGAACAAACCTTATCGATTTGACAGTTTCTATAATCAAAACAGATGCTAATATTAAAAGTATTCATATTATTTCGGTGAAACCCAAAAGCGCAATCAGTCGATTTTTTTCGATAGACCAAAAGCGTAAATTAATTTTATGCTTTTGTACTTTAGTAGTGGGATAAAAGTGCAAAAATAAAAACTGTACCCGTCACACTATAAGTTTTATTTTAAAATAATTAATTATTAAATTAAATTATTCATTTTAATTAAATATATGTATTTTTATAATAATTCAAAAATACATCAATAGTGATCGAGTTCAGTTAAAGTTTCGTATTATCGTAACGAATTACTGTGAAGGTTGACAATCATTTAAAATAACTACACAATACAATATACAATATAAACTTATACCCAACTTATAAAATACGCTTTACTTTTATAAAATTTATTTGCGTTTTCGTACTTACGGGCTGTAGCCTAGTATTTTTTTAGTATAATATACGACAGTACAACACTGTAATTAGACATTATACTTATTGCATAGCGTAGGTATATTGACCATAGAGTTATTTAGATACTTTGTGGAAAAACGTATTATATGTAACTGATGAAAAGTTAATAGATCTTGAAAAGTTGCACGAATAAAATTAAATGAAGAAAAAGCTAGTCTGTAGAAAATTTTATAATTTATTTATTTGTTTATAATGTTCGTATGCCTTTTTCATTTTCATTTACTTATTATTTTATAGGCTAAGCATGTTAGGTGCCTAAATATTTACTAAATTTAACTGTAGCTCAACATACCTGTAGTGATTTTAAAGAGTATGAGATAAATTTTATTTTGTATTTTAATATCTTCTTTTAATTCTGTTTTTGTTTTTATTAACTATTAAAATGTATAATTAAAACTTAAAAATCTGTTATTTGATTAAAATCACTTAAAAATAAATATTACTTAATTACTTTTTATCTAGGTAATCATAAAAAATTTAAATGTTTAATATATTTCTAGGAGTATAATTGTAGACTGTAAAGACTCAATTGCGGCATAGTAGTAATAAAGTGACATAATGTATCTATGTAATTATAAATATAAAAGTAATAATAATGTAGTATATTAGGTGGGTGTAGGGGACGAAGCCTCCTCGTTTGCATGTCAAACACATTTAAGCGTATAGTTACTAAAAAAATTACGGCTGCATCACTAGCAATGACATTATTGGCGCTGATAAACAAATAAAATCTACTACTATATTATAATTATTCATTTTAATTTGACCTGTGCTTTTATTTGTACACTGTAAATTGAAATTTTATTGAAATATTTTGTATTGAATTTCACTGATAAAAAGTATATGGAAATTTATATTAGCATTAAAAATAGAGGAAAACACGAATAAAATAAAAGTCGAACAATATATAACTGGAGAATTTCCACCAGCAAAAAAAAAAAAAAAATATCGGAATAAAGTTCAATCTTTAAAGCAAATATGCTTTGATTATGAAGATAGATCATCGACAGCTATTTACAAGGAATAGCTCATCATTTTCAATTACAATTACAAATTTTGTAAATAATTTATATAGTATGTAAACGACAAACAATATTTATTGTGATTAACGTTTTTGTGATTATTTAAATAATTAATATTTCTAAATATTTGATAAAATTTTGCAATAAATTGACGTACGATTATAATTGCGACCTCAATAAATTGATGTGCGATGAATTGACCGCGATTATTTGACGCACAATGAATTTAGCCACGGTAAATTGACGTATATTTATAAATTAGTAGTCATATTCTTCATTATTTACTTATAAATTATAACTAAAACATGTTTTGGCATACATTTTTATTATTATTATGTACAAATATATTATTTTAATGACAATAATAGTGGTTATATTAGTTGATATCATATTATTTATATTTATTGGTAATTTTAAATTATTTTTCATATATTTTTTGTATGATATTTTTATCATATTTTTTTATTAATTTTATTACGACTGATATTGTTTGAAATTTTTTAGAAAAAAATATTGAAAATCATCAAATTTAAAATGGAATCTACCAATTCAGAAAATAATTATGTATAAGATGAACTACTAACAGTACATGATAAAACTCAAAAAAGATAAACGTCTGATTCTTCAGATAACGATAATACTGTAAGCATGCGATTTAGTATTATTATTTAATGTAAATCAGTTTAAAAGAAAATTATTTTTAGACTACAACCAATTCCAATAGGGTACACACCAATCAAACTAACAACCCTCCCCAAGTAAAAGCAGAATCAAACATTAACACTCTACATCATGATTTACTCAGTGATTATCCTGTTTATTCAACATCCAAAAAGGTATAACATTTATTCATTTTCTATTTATTTTTATTAACCAAAATTATATTGCTCAATTAATAGAACGCTGTTCCGCGGAAATTAAGATATATTCTCAATCACTTTTCATTTTCAAGATGTGAAATTTACAATTTATTAAACGATTGTCTAGAAATATCACAGGACGTTTTCTCTAGAATTTCACACAAGTTATTGGCCTTTCAGGTAAATTTTTAGTAAATGACTTCTAATTTTACATTAAGATATGATGTTGCAATGTTATTATTATAATTTCTTTCCACAGCAATTTTTTCTTGGTCAATGTTATACCTTTATTCGACGCAAACAACAGGATAATGTTGTAAACTAAGTGTTCTTAGCGTGGCAACTTAATTACTGCACTCCGATGTGGCGTGATGATAGATTCAATCTATCATGCAGGGTAACTTTTTGTTTATTGATGAAATCATGTTTCACAGCACTAAAAGAGCTGAGAGAGGACGGCCACGGCACTTATAACTTAGAAAAATATCTACGATATATATTGAGGTAAGTTTAATACTCTAAAATTTAGATAATTAAAAATAAAAATTAATTTAACATTTATGCTACAATTATTCTAGCTGACTTTAAATATATAAAAAAATTAATATATTTATTGATTTTTTGATTTTTCTATTAATAATATAGTTATAGTTAAATAGTATTTTATTTTTATTTTAGTATGAAGTTAATGTGCAATGATGGATTTTTAAGGAACATAAGTGAAGTTTAATTATTTTCTCAGATAACTATGGTTTTTGAAAGAAAATATTGTTATTAATGGTTTTTAGCAATAATGTTTTATATATTATTTTTTACATTTAATTTGATTTCATTTAAGTTTATATAAGTAGGCTAAATGTACCATTCCTTGCGCATTTACAATTGTTTTCTGTTAAAAAAATATTATTTCTAATTAATTTAATATAGATGAAGATCATAAAAGATAAAACTAAGAAACTTTTGTGAAAAATGATTGTCTGCGCTATCGAACTCTTAACTGACAGTTGGCTAGACAACTAGCACCGTAAAAAATTTAAAAAATATAAAGATTAGATAGTTCGTTTTGCTTTCTATATTATTATTTAAAATTAGCATCTCCTATAGTTAATTATAATTTATATTAGTATACAAGGTATATTTTATTCGACTTATAAAAATAAAAAGCAGTGGCAAGTTTCTTTAAAGAGTATAATCAAGATTTTGGTAACATGTATGGTATACGGTATACCCATGGGAGAGGGATTAAGATTTCAAAATGTTGGTTAATTGCATTTTATATTACAATCCAATATTTTAAGTATAAAATAAATATTGGATAACATTGTATGTATATGTACGTGAACAAACTTTATACGTAATATTGTATTACATTATATTATAAGTTCCTAGTATCTACTTAAATTGACGTCAATGGAAAAAAAAAATGACGTTTATGGCTGAAGAAAATATATTACTATAATTAAAAAAAAACTTGGCTAAAAACCCCTTAACCCTATTATCTACCTGTGGTGCCCCGCTCGTTTTTCGTGCGATATAGTAGTATATATTATACATAAATATTAAATATAATCTTATAACATAATATAAAAATAACATTTATGAGTATTTAGGTAGATAAAAACGACATTAAACTCATAATTACATATAATATAAATTGTGTTTTAAGTTATAATGAATCCAAACAACAATTTATCATAGATAGGTAAAAACTGTTTCGTTGCTCAAAACAAATGCCCGAAAAAATAAGTGTCATGCATTTTTATTATATTGTATCAGACGTCCCGGCAATTACTATATAACATAAATATATTAATATATTATAATAGATATATTGTATACGGTATGGTATGTCCTTCTTACTCTTTTTAGTCTTTTGAATATCTGTTAGCCGTTAGGTATGGACGTATGGTTCGAGTGTTTATTTTGAAGTAGTACATTCGACTGAAGTTCTATTTATAGTATAACTATAAAGAATATGCTATATAGTAGGTAGGTAGGTACTTACTTAATCTATACAGTTACCTACTCTGTTTAAGTAACCGCAAACGTGTTCTCAACTCGGTATTCTTTATTTTGTTTTTGTGCGATGGATGTATTCCATGTTATATTCACTTTTTTTTGTGCAGTAAAGCATAAACTTTTTAATTCTAGTGTACCAGTTTATTATAACCAATAGCGAAAAGATATGAAGCTTTGTTACTACCCTACAATACCGACATTCATAAAACGGCGTTACATTGCCCACTTTTATCATTGGCGCTTTAATCGACTCCGAAAACAATTTGTTTTAATATTATATGATATATATTATATTATTATGTCTTTTGTTTGGCCTTATCACATAATGTCTTCATTACTATTCACTATTCAGTACGTGTTACGATAATACTATATTCATATTATGTTTTAACATGCAATTTAAATAAAACCTCTTATCATTTTATTAACAACTATTTCTGTCGTTAATTGTTTCTACACGATTAGTTTACATAACAGTTTAATAATTTACTTTACCTCAAAGGTACCTAAAAATTTAATGTACACTTGAACAAATAACTTAAAATGATCACATCGTATACGAGTATATACTTTGTGTCTCTGCTAACAACTATTATGATTTATTTTTATTGTTTATTATTATTGCTATAATGTAGTATATTTGTAGAGTACAATTTGAGTAATATGTAAAAATATATTTTATACTCTACCATTTTCATATTTAATTATGTCCGACTGTGATTTTTAGTGTAAATTCCAAAAAATATGTAGTTACTCTTAATTAGTGGGAAAAATGTGTATTTATAATATAGAATATACTTATATATTGTAAACATATTATTAATCCATTTGGGTAAGTACCTATATATTATTTTCTATGAAAAAGAAACCTGTCATTTTTGTTTAGTATTAGAAGTATTTTCAATAAGACTACCTAAAGTATAAAATGCAGAAAACATGTTTTTAGAAACATCTTACTGTTGTTGGACACATTTTCGAAGTTCATAAATATAATTTTCAGCTTCAGTACCACGTATGAAAAGTTCAACAACAGCGATTTCTTCCTTGTCAATTGCTTCATCGGCAGAACTTATCTCTAGCTCATTGAGAGTATTAGATGTTTTAAAAATGTCTGCATCGATTAAACTTACTGATGTACTCAAAGTAGAATCAATATCCAAAAAAAAGTCCTTGGAACTTTATCGTCGTTATTGGTCACTAGCTGAACAATAGTATCAACGTTATTAAAATGTTGTGTGTATAAGCTCTGTTGTTTATCTTATATTTTATAGTCTGGGCATTTTCTAATCTGTCATATTATATTTGAGTTAATGAATTGTAATAGGCGATGGGTATCGGATAATGACTTTGACTTATAGAAAAATTCAGCATATGGAAATTCGATATACTAAAATAACTTAACACATAGTCCAATACTAAATGATCGAGACTAAAAAAAAAAAAAATCGGCATACAGAAACTTCGAGATACCGGAGTTCGAGATAGCGAGGTTCTACTGTATTAAAAATTTATTGTATTTACCAATATAGAGAACTTGACGTTAAAAAAATTATTCTAGTTCGAAATTTTATTATTCATTTGTTTACCATTACATTCCAGTAACTTAACCATGTCGTTGAATGAACTAGACTATCACCCTTATCTCATTATAATATAAGAACGTATATCGTAAGTATCTATATTTATTAATCACATTTCTAAAATATCCTGATACGTATATCAATATTATAAATAAATTACAAAGTAGGTATGCTAGTTTCATAGAAAATTTCCATTACCAAACTCCTTAAAAATGAACTACAATCCTCTAAAAATATCGTTCTGTAGTGCTTTTACCTAAAATATGAACCATAACCCATAATATACGTATAATAACAAATCAAAATAAATGGCATTGTTACGTATGTGTTCACTCGTACAAATTTAATTTAATTTTGTTTATGGTCGTAAAATAAGTTTGTATTAGTTTGTGTACAGGCAGGTAATAAGTAAGCTCATAAATAACTAAAATATTTTAAAAGCTACAATATCACTTTTGAATGTCAGCTGCTGTTTGAAGAGGATATTCTTCAGTGTCTGAACGACTTACAAAAGCCACTTATAAATGTAAATATACAAACATTATAACGTATATAATATATACTGCCAGGAACTAGGAAAATAATTGCCCTGGTGCGGCGACCACCGAACGCGGCAATCAATTTGCTACAGCAAATTACCTAGCTCCGGCTAGCTGTGCACTGTCTATACCAGTGTTCCCCAACCTATTGGGCGTGTAAACATTGCTGGGGAAACGTAAGCAGTCATTACGAAGTAAAATTTTATATATTAAATTGTTTTTATTTTATATGCAATGTAGAAAAAAAATGAAAAATTATTAACGACCGGTTTATCAGTTACCTACGTATCGATAAATATTGCGAGTATTATAATATACTCTAATATTTACGATTATTCATATTTTATAATTATTATCATCAATAAAAAAAGAAGTGATTCCGAGTATTGAATAGTTTGTTTGTTAAAGTATAATATAAAAAAAGGTAATAACTTTATTTTAATTTATAGGAGAGAGGAGCGCGAGATTTTTAAAAATCTACAAAGGGGACGTAGGATTAAAAGAGATTGGAAACCACTGGTGGTCCATACTCATCTCTCGACTTATTCATGCTCACAGTACAACGGAATCGTTAATTATTCGCCATAAACAAACAGAACCCTCGTTCAACAGACAATCACATTATTTTTGACTTGGAGAATGGTTATAATTTATTCAGGAAAATCCCTAACCACCTGCCCGCCCTCAATTCTCGTATTAATTGTACGCTGAAAATCACGCAAATATATTATAAACATAATACGTAGTACACGTACACATACACACTCGTTAGTGACGGTAAAGTTTTGAAGTCCTATCGCTAGGATAGAATCAACAGACGTTCATCATTGAATACACCAAAGTATATAAGTACACGGAAAGGTACATTTTATTGTAACTACGCTATAATTTCCCAATTTAGTTAAAACACTTTAAATTTTATAAGGCATACAGTGCGTTGTAAATAATAAATAAATATGCTAAAAAACGTTTCTATCAAAAAATATTGTTTTTACTATTTTTTTATAGCAATGGTTTTATTTTTTTAATGTATAATTATTTTAAGCTAATGATCACATTTCATCTATAATTCGCCCCGTTTACTTGTGTATTTTTATTATATTGTATTATATTATAAAAGTAAATCTCATAATTATTTATAAACAGATTTAGATATTTGATAAGTAAGTTTGAAAAAAAAAAATAATAATATTTAACATTATCTGTACAATATAATATTATATAACATATAATAGTGCAGTTTTACATTTAAGAATACTAGCCAATTGTTGGTTCATCAACATCACGTTAGTATGCGATGACTTTTTTATGGAACTTAGCGCCTAAATGATTTTTTCCGGTTTCAGTATCCTGGGGTTTTTTTTTTTTTGAAAATTAGAATCGTATTAGGTAACAAATATTTCAATACTTTATAGTGGAATATTATTAATTTTAATAGGAATCCGAGAGTTTATCTCACACTTATCCGACTATTTGAAAAAACTGCAAAATATTGAGCGATTCCGTATATAGAACTGCCTATATTGTCCCTTCACCTCTAAAACGATTTTTTTGATTACATTATTATTTTATTTTATTGATTGCTTGAAGCATCATACCTAC